CAAATTAATTAAATTTGATCAATTTATGTCATTCATTTATCAAAAATATACACTTTTATTTATTTTTATATAAGTCATTTTTCATTCATTATTTAATGATAAAGTGAGTATTTATATTTTGTTTAGTTAATAAATATTTTTATAATCATCTATAATATTCTAAATATTCTAAGATATTATCAAATATATTTTAGAAATATTAATATAATTCTATTCAATCTAATTAAAAAGCCATATTGTTAAAAGATTAAATTTTGTGTCAAAATTTTTATGCTAATTTAATCGCTTTACTTAATTTTATAAAATATTAATTTTTTTAATTTAAAGAAAAATTTGCTAAAGGAATTGAAAAAAAATATTAAATATATTAATTAAACTAAAATTCAAATAAATCTGAGGAGTATTTTAAAGGATTGATTAAATAATCTAATTCTATATGTGGGTATGTTTAATTAATATGATTAAAATGAAAAAAGTTTTTATATAACAATCAATCAACAGATGATGAAACTTTTTATTAGTTATATTTTAATAATTTTTAGTTTTATGATGCAATTCTTTTATTGAATAAATAATAAAAAATTTATCATTTGAATGGATTACCCGTACTGATTTAATGTTAAGTAAACAAATGGACAATGAAAAGATATAGTATATGACTTTTTGCTTTGAAAGATGAATAATAATTTTTATCATAAGAAATATAGAATAGAATGGGAATTAATTTTTAGTATAAAGTATATGATTGATTAAGTACGTAAGAATTGTTGGATAATGAATCGATTATAATTTGTGTGTTTTAGGTAATTTAATATATAAATATTTATAATTGTTAGATTTATAGAAACCATCACAATTTGGTTAAGCATCCATTTTTGATAATCACTAAAGAAAGTTGAGAATCTGTACTCAAAAATTCACAAAAAGAATATTCTTGAGTAAGAATCTTTTTTTATTTTTCTTATAGAATCTGTATTTTGGATAGAATCATATCAACTTCTTGGATATTCCATCGAGGACTGATTTCGAAATCAACCTTGTTGAGACTTTTAGCTTTGTGACCTTGTAAATAGAATGTATAAGAATACCATAATATTTCTATAGTTATTTGAATTTGTGTTTAAGAGCAAATTCAGTTCTTCTCTTGTATTTGGTGATCATTGACAATTTCAAAGATATGTCAGCCCACCTTCGTCCATTCTGAAGAAGCAATTGAAGAAAGTGTAACTCCTCAGATTTAGACCATGGTTCTCTAAGTTTGTTAAATTTTATATTATTACCTATTAATTTGTGGATCTAATTTATTATTCCATCTTTCTCGACATTGTTTAGCATTTCTAAGAATTTCAGATTTACAGATTAGATTGTATTAATTTGCAATAGAGCTCCATTTTTTCTTACAACGACTGTTGTTATCCCTATATTATAGATAAAGATAAATACAAAATGATTTACAACAAAGTTTTATCTTCAAAAGAAGACCAGGGTTATCTTGGAAGTTGTGCTTTATAGAAAGATTAGAATTTAAAGCACAATTCTGATAGACTCCTAAACTTTGGCATTAACTTTTGGACCTTCTCCCAATCAAATCGATTCTTTAAATTATTAAAACAAAATAATTTACCTTTATGCATCTAGGATTTAGACTCAAGACGAGGAGTTATAAGAAAATCTCTTCATTTTGATTCCAAACTTCATCACATCCAATTTTTGATGACTCATAAAGTTTTATAAACTCATCAAAATTGGGTAGAGTCTTGAAATGCAATTTAAGCTTTGAAGATAAATAATCTGGTTCAATGGTTTGGAGATTTTAGTAAACTAAAGCCCAATCGTTGAGATCAGTAAATGAGCTTTGTGAAGAATTCATTTATTTGATAAGATTAATAATGCATTATCGAAATACAAATTTTATGAATTTAAAACATGAATTTTAATACAATAAACAGATACAATCAATTATTTATTATATAATATTAAAACAAAATTAAGAACTTATATCGGAATTTAAAAAAAATCAAGTCTTATTAAGTATTCTTCTATATAGTATTATATATTAACCGTTTCTAACTGTTAGACTTAGTTTCATAAATATATACTTCAATTTAATTCTTATTTCCTTACAGTAATATTTATTATTTCAACACCCTCCTAAAATTACTATATACTATTTCTGTTAATAATGGTTTATTAATATAAATAGAGCAATCTTAAATTAATTTTTAATAAATTTAAGAATCAGAATTTAAATCTTCAGATTCTATAATTTTTAGATTTAAATGTTAAGGAGAATCCGTTTCAAAAAGCAATTTTTTTTAATGATAAAATTTAATTGTTCCATTTTCATATTCAAACAAAATGAATATTAAAAATTTGATATAATTTATTAAAAACATCCTATAATAACTTTAGAACATTCATTAAATGTGCATAAAGATTATAGAATTCCTTTCAATTAGTTTTTTTAGAATATTTTAAGCATTTCTCCATAAATTTTAACTCATAGATCTATTATCTTTAATTATGATTAGATAATAATGATTTTACAATATCTTTTTTAATGAAGTCTAATCCAATATGTCCATCTCTAATTCTTTCATTATTTAATAATCAATAATCTTTTCCTTATTAATGNGCATTTCTAAGAATTTCAGATTTACAGATTAGATTGTATTAATTTGCAATAGAGCTCCATTTTTTCTTACAACGACTGTTGTTATCCCTATATTATAGATAAAGATAAATACAAAATGATTTACAACAAAGTTTTATCTTCAAAAGAAGACCAGGGTTATCTTGGAAGTTGTGCTTTATAGAAAGATTAGAATTTAAAGCACAATTCTGATAGACTCCTAAACTTTGGCATTAACTTTTGGACCTTCTCCCAATCAAATCGATTCTTTAAATTATTAAAACAAAATAATTTACCTTTATGCATCTAGGATTTAGACTCAAGACGAGGAGTTATAAGAAAATCTCTTCATTTTGATTCCAAACTTCATCACATCCAATTTTTGATGACTCATAAAGTTTTATAAACTCATCAAAATTGGGTAGAGTCTTGAAATGCAATTTAAGCTTTGAAGATAAATAATCTGGTTCAATGGTTTGGAGATTTTAGTAAACTAAAGCCCAATCGTTGAGATCAGTAAATGAGCTTTGTGAAGAATTCATTTATTTGATAAGATTAATAATGCATTATCGAAATACAAATTTTATGAATTTAAAACATGAATTTTAATACAATAAACAGATACAATCAATTATTTATTATATAATATTAAAACAAAATTAAGAACTTATATCGGAATTTAAAAAAAATCAAGTCTTATTAAGTATTCTTCTATATAGTATTATATATTAACCGTTTCTAACTGTTAGACTTAGTTTCATAAATATATACTTCAATTTAATTCTTATTTCCTTACAGTAATATTTATTATTTCAACACCCTCCTAAAATTACTATATACTATTTCTGTTAATAATGGTTTATTAATATAAATAGAGCAATCTTAAATTAATTTTTAATAAATTTAAGAATCAGAATTTAAATCTTCAGATTCTATAATTTTTAGATTTAAATGTTAAGGAGAATCCGTTTCAAAAAGCAATTTTTTTTAATGATAAAATTTAATTGTTCCATTTTCATATTCAAACAAAATGAATATTAAAAATTTGATATAATTTATTAAAAACATCCTATAATAACTTTAGAACATTCATTAAATGTGCATAAAGATTATAGAATTCCTTTCAATTAGTTTTTTTAGAATATTTTAAGCATTTCTCCATAAATTTTAACTCATAGATCTATTATCTTTAATTATGATTAGATAATAATGATTTTACAATATCTTTTTTAATGAAGTCTAATCCAATATGTCCATCTCTAATTCTTTCATTATTTAATAATCAATAATCTTTTCCTTATTAATGTATCATGTCTATAAATAAATAGAAGGAATTATGAAAGGATTAAGAAGAGATTGTGTAAAAATGTAGAATGATAGACTATGATTTATTAATGGATTGGATAGTGATATGATTGATACTTGATTGTTTAGATGATTACTACTAAATGATTTGTTCAACTATATCAAAATCTTATATATGAGATTATACATCTGCATATTTTTTTATAAATCCATAAGAAAAATATAAAAAATTCATATTTTAGAAATCAATTTACCTTTGAGCCATAATCCATTAAGTTTATCTCCATTTTTTTTAGTTAATTATCCCATACCATTTTTACAACCAGATTCAAAATTACCAACATAAATTGAACCATCTCTATAATATTCAATACCAGCTCCAAATTTTTATCCAAATTAGAATTAACCAATATACTTAGTGAATTAAGAATTTATATCATTATTATAATATATTCCATTACCATGTAGTTAATCATTAAGCCATTATCCTTCATAAATCAATACACCTTAACTATTAAATAATTTGCCTATTCCTTCTCTCAAATTCTCATTATATTAACCTATATATTGTTCTTCATTTTTAATATCTTTTATAATAATTTTATCTGAACTTTTTGAGTAACTTTTACTCATTTCTCTTATAGGTTTATTTAAAGTATTAATCGATTTATTACAATCAAATTATTCTACTTTTTTAATTGGAGAATCTTCTACTTTTATATTCTTTGGAAGAGTAGAGAATGGAGAATAAGTAGTAATAATCTAAAAGAGATATTCAATATAGAATTACAGTTCGATAAGGTCCAATGGATTTACCTGAATTTTATGAAAATAAGTAATACTTGGAGAAACAGTTTATGGTTTTTAAGGACTTTAAGTATTGGTTGATTGCATTTTATTATATATATTTATATTTTTGTATTTTAAGTCTCAGAAAATCATTTTCTTTGGTGATTAATAATCTTATGGATCTACATAATAATCTTCTCCCATTTTCTATGTCTATGAAGCTACTCCTCCTCTATAAATTAGAAATGAGAGAATCAATGTTGGAATTGCAACATGTACTGAATGTCTAAACCAACATCTATTATAAAGCCAAGCATCACTCTATAAGGATTTATGTTATCATTATTACCAACACATAACGAGGAATTGGGTACTTCTAAAAACCTCCCATTTTAAAATATATAAATTAATAATTATTATTATTTCGATATTAATAAGAATTTATAAAGAGAATAATGTTAGAAGAGAAAATTACAAAATTTGAAGCAGAATTTGAAAATTAATGAAGAAAGTTATTAATATTAAAATCTAGAAAGATTTGTTAAGATGATAAAAAATAATACTAAGTAGGAAATAAATGAATTAATTATTAATAAATATTATCTATATATAATGTTCGAAAAAAAAAAAGATTGAAATTAATATTTTTTAATTTGATGTATTTTTCATTCATCCTAAGGACTTAATTAAATTGCTAATTAAGCAAACCAATAAATTTTGTTAATACAATTTGTTTTATTTAATATAAATTATCTTTTTATACTACAATGGCTATGAAATTAGGGCCTAAGTTGAAATTTGTGATGCCTCTTTAAAAGATTATTTCATTTGATGAAAATATTGAGGGGATTTTTGATTTTGAATAGAGATAATAGAGTATTTCTAAAATGGAACGTAAAGTAAGTTTTGTAGGATCAACTATTGTGTTTATCAGATACTCAGAAGAAGAAATAGTACATTTTAGATAAAGATTGAGATCATAAATACAATGTAGTATAGAGTTGATTGATTCTTCATATTTAAATCCTTAATTGTGTAGTCCTGATAAATAAAGTAGAAAGAAGTCATGCTTTAAGGAATAGGAGGAACAATTAAATTGATTACTAAATTTATGAAACTCAACAGTTATATATATACTTCAGTAGATATTACATTTATGTTTAAAAATATTTTATTCATTAATTTAATATGCCAATCAATGAACTTGAATGAGAGTGGGAACATAAGATTAATAATATATTGTACTAGTGACATAAAACTTAACTATCATCATTTAATTTTTTGTTTCATCGAATTGAATAGGCTTTAAAACTTATACACTTTTTATATAACTCTTTTCATTAAAAATCTTTCCCATCCCTCTAACCATCTAAATAATAATTTTAAATTGAATTACTTGTTCATTTCATCTCTATTTCCTTCTTGCTTTATCCAATTCTCTAAAGTTATATTCAATTTCTCAATTAATGGTTAGAAAATCATTTCTATATATGGTTCAATTTCATCCATCCACTTGTAAATTTCTCTTATAGGTTAAACATTCTAATTTTATGGATTTATTTCTAAATTGTGTAGACAAAATAACATCTTTGGTAAAACCTACATATATAAAAGATTTTTCCAATTTTCACCTAAATTTTATGCCCAAGGTTACAATATACTAAAACCAAAGTCATCTCTATCGTTAAATTTCAATTATTTTAATTTTTTCTCTACTTCTTCAATCAAATCCTTATTATTCAATTTTGAATTAATCCAAGGTTATAACCATTAATGTAAAGATATTTTTGAATTCAGATTCCATTCTTAAATTTTAAGTTTTAATTTAGACATAACTATACCCATTATATCCTTTTATACTTATTCATCAAATATTCTTATTGTCTAAAATTAATATAATCCTGTTTCATCTGTTTCAACCTATGCTAAATCTTAAATCCATAATTCCAAAAAATCAACTAAATTATTTTCTGAACTTGGATCATAAATTGTAGAAATATAATTTCTTAATCTAATTATAATTGGACTTATCAATATACCAATGAATCTTTTTAAAGTATTTAAATCTGATGTCGATATTTAATTATTTATTATAAAAACATCTAATTATTCAGCATACTTGCTTAAATTTTAAGATTTCTTTTATATATATACATCCTTTGCCAAATTAATCACTTTTGATATTAATTGATGTTCATTATATAAAATATCTATCTTTGTAAGAGGTCCTTTCCATTTAATAGTCATTTCCTTAATTTCTTATTCTGCATTTTTAACTAATAAACCAATTAAATTGAATTAAATAAATTAATCACTAAATTTCCTAAAACATTCTTCGAATTTAGCAAATATTGGAAATTAATCATTAGAAATTATTACATCATCTTCTTTAAAGAATTTTAAATAATTTAAAAAATCTTCTTTTCTTTTTACAGAATTGTTCCATTATGTAAATTATATTATTTCTTCTTTTTTTTCATGTTCTAAAATAATAATCTTATCTTTCTCCTTCTTAATACTCTAATCATTATTTTCCCATTTTGCTAGACGCTTTTCTAATAATTTTTATACTGACCAAGTTAATTCTTAAACTTCTTTTAAATATTCCCTAACTTTTGAATTATTTAATACTTATATATCCTAAGACTTATTTAAATAATCATTAATATCCTAACTTGTCATATCAATTATTTTATAATTATTATTACTAATATTTTCTTTAATAAGATTTCCCATAATATGATTTCTATCTAGATTTTATACTTCTTCTTTTTTGTATTGAATAGAAGGTTATTCTACTAATTTATTTTATTTTTTCCTCCATTATTTTTCATATTTATTAAGTTTTTTAGATTCAAATAATGTTTTCTTTTTATTTTCTTAATTAATTTATTCCTTATCATCTTATTCTTCTTAATATTCATATTCTTAGATACCTTATCCTGTAAATGATTATTTCTTTACAGCACTAACAGGTTCTAATATACCTTATTTATTGGCACCTAAACCTTCACCATATTTATATCCTTATTTTTATAGCAATTTCAATCCAACTCCATAATCATGATCTTCAACTCTTTTTTCTAAAGTCTTTTTTTCTCTTTAAGTAAGATTTTTTTTATTTTTATTATCTTTAAATACAACTGATTCAACTGTGATTGTTTTCTTAGTATCATCATCTTCTTTAAAGATTTAGGGTTTCTTTCTTAAAATACTCTTAGGTTAAGGATCAGACACTTCACTTACAATATTAATTATAGAATCTTCACTCTCCTCATCTTATGCTTCTACTTCAGAATCAGAATTTATTTTATATAATTACCAAGAGCGTCTTATATTATTTGAGAGATGAAGCTTTTCTGCTAATGTTAAATACTCAAATTCATGTTTAAATATTGGATGAATAACATTATTTTCAAGATTAAATTGGACTGATCGCTTTTACTTTATCCTATATTCAGTTTCATTAACTTATTTATTCTTTGGCATATTCTTATCAAATATCTTTACAGTTACACCTTTATCTACATTTGATAGTAAGGAAGCATTAGATTTTTAAAAATTAGCAAATGCTTAACTCCTCTAAAATTCTTTATATAGATATTAATTTTAATTGTTCTAAGTTTCTTAAATCAATTATTTTGGAGTCTATTCAAATTCTTCTTAAAATAGATTTAATCGAGCTCTCTAATATGGTTTTTCCATTTCCATTTTTAAACTCTATTCTTTGTCATTATTTATTTTAGATTTCTTGAATCCTAAACCTGTATGTAATGGTAACTCATCATCACTACTAAGATTGTCTAAATCAACTTTCATTGATTTTTATTGATTTTATTAATTTATATTATGTCTATGTATATATATTTAACTTCATCAAGAAGCATAATAATCTTTGTTTGGTCTTTCTTCTTACTCTGTTCTTCTCAAGTAAGCTAACTCATAAGAGAAATATGCAAACCAGGAAATACCCATAGCTAACCAAAATAGACCATCTTTTCTATCATTATTTAATACTATTTTATACTTATAATTAACTGTCCAAGGTCTATAATCTTTTGGGTAACCGAATTGCTCATTATAAGCAATAGGTGCTTATTGTCCAGGATTGAAATTTCTGATTCTTAATAATATCATTGTTACCTTGGAGGTCTAGATAAGTTGATACTTTTTGTATGACTTAATCCTATTTACTCAAGTTTTGAGATATTGCTTTATCCATAACGATAACCTATTCTTTATATAAAATTCATTTTTTATATTAATATATATATATTAACAAGCATTAAATAATATATTCACTACATTTAAGAACAAAATTATCTGATATTTTCACTATCACTTATTTTTATTATATATAATAACCTATTCTTATTCTTTTTTATCAAATAAGGATCTAAATTGTATTAGAAAATATTCATAGATGTATAACCATTCAATATAGAACAGTTAACTTTCAATCATAAATAAATAATATCTTGTTGTTATTATATTAAACATAAAGAAATGAACTAAACAATAATTGTAAGAATAATACATTGATAAAATTTAATTTATTTTAAAATTAAATACAATTTGTAGGAAAGCATATCAAAAAATACAAATATAAAATAATATATAGAAATCCTTATTCAAAAGTATATCCTTTAATAATATCATTGAAATGTGTTTTTGAGATAATCCAAGTAGAAAAAAATAAGTTTCATTAAGTATAGATAGAATAAAATAATATAGATGAATATTAATAAATGATTTAGGGATTATCATTCAATTGAGATGGAATGCAACTAGCAATTTTAGGTGTCATAAAACAATAAATTTATATAGTGGAAATTTAGATTTCTATTCAACAAACTTACAAATGGCTAATGTATTTGTTAATGTCTCAGATGGTTTTGTTAAACTCATTGTGAATGCAATTGGAATAATAATCCAAAGATCCTAATATAAAAATTACTCTACAGTTAGATTAGTATTACTAATATAACATATTGTCAATGTAATAGTTTAAATACTAGAATAAAGAGTCATGAATTTAAAACAAGATTGACTGGTGATAAGAGCACATCTTCCTACTTTTAAAATCTCTATAATTTATGAAACTCTAATAATTGGTGTAAAAAATAGAGCAGCCAAAGATGCTTCTTAATTAGATAAAGCTAAACCAATGTCACTTTATTAAAGAGCACAAATATCATTACAACCATCGCCAATAAAAGCAGTAAATATTCCTTTGTTCAAATTCTTAAATTTTAGCATAAGATTACCATTCTAGGAAGGCTTCATTCTGGCAAAAACCCTAGTTTTTTCAAGGATACTCAAAAATAATATTAACTAATACTTTATCAACATATTCCCAAGAATCTCCTGTTAATGCCACCTAATAATTCATTTATTCAATTTCTTCTATACT